TCAGGGGGAGTGAGTGAGTGGCTGTGTGGTGCTTTTTTTTGCTGGCTGGGGTTAAACCATGACAATATTTTATGTGGGTTTGGAAGCCTGAAGGGAAACCTGCCTATCGCAAAAGTGTATGAGAGTTTTAAAAGCCAAAGGCAGCCTTCAAAATTCTCCCCATACTTTGACACATACCCTTCTGCTCTGACCTCTGCTCTTGCAGCTTCCCACTTTCTCCTTCCCCTTCAAATGCTCTGCTTATCCCTGCTGGCGTTGTCAGAACAAATGGTCTCTTCTGTGTCAAACCCCTCTGTGTTTCTTCTGTGAACCCAATCTCGTTTCCATTGCCATGAGTATTTAATACATATGTGATTAAATAATTAAATTTCTGCTCACAGAAACACCAAGGGATCAGCACCAGGGATGGGAGAAAAAAACAAACTACTTGAGCTAGAGGACAATGTTGGACATCATTATAACTAGGGTAAAAATCCCTGAAGGAGCAAGTAGCAGGGGACTGGACTCCATGACCCTGAAGCCCATTTCTCTCCTGGTTTCCAAGTACCCACATGTAGGAGAGGGAGAAAGAACAAGCAGAGGGAGACATGCTTTGAAAATCCCCCTTGTATTTCTAAGGGTCTGGAGTGTGTCTTTGCTTTGTTTAACGGTAATCTGTTTCTTATTGTTGCAATCTGATGTCCAAGGACGCTGTTCACTGACCTGGAGTAATGCTGTGTGCAGCTTTGGGAATGATGTCAGTGTCCTGTTCTTCAATGGGCATGTTCTGGGGGTTGTTGAAAGCCAGACTCCTGGAGCCATTTCCAGCAAGGAACAACATCCCTTCAGCCAACGCCCTTGTAAAGGGTGCCAAACACCCTTGTGCATCAGGAGATGGCAGCCGTGCCCGGTTTTCCACATTACCAATAACCATCCCATCCCCTGTTTACCCTGTTTATTTCCCCCATTATCAAAGACCGATCTTGTAGGTTGCTCTGCTGCGGAGTTGGAGCTTTCGCAGAGCAAGTGGTCTCTGTATTCCAGACCCCAGGGTGATAAAGCGCCTGTCAGTTATAAGACTGGATGTGTCCTGAGGGTCCAGTTGCCAAAAGGTCACACAGATGGCTGCAGGCAGAGACACACAGGATGATGTTCAGCCAGGATGAAGGAGCTACCCCGAGCCCATGAGCAGGATGGTTTTCAGCAGTCCCCTGGGTCTCATGAAGGTGTGCTTACAATAATGGTGTATAAACCTTGAGCGTGGAAAAAGCACCCGGAACATTACACACCCAGTCACGGGTGCAGACCTGGCAAAATCTCACATCTGTGCCAGATTTGCTGGGAAATCTTTAGTATCCTGTCATTAATTGTGGCTGTAGCCCTGAGGGTGCGAGTAACAAGAGAATGGGGAGGCGGGCACGCTTGTGGAAAGCAAGTCTTGGGGTGGCAGCTGTACAGCTATTCGGATGCGCCTGTGCTTTGTTCATCGCTGCAAGCTGTGGGACGCTGAACCAAGTTTTCAGCTAGCACCATAGGCCCTGGCTCTGTCTGTTCACCACAGTCTCGGGAGGAAACACCCTCCCAGAAATCACAGGCCCTCATTTCCCACAGCTCAAGCAATGAGGTATATTTGAGGTGTGTGTGTATATATATATATATATATATATTATCTCAGGGCCTGAGGTATTTTTGCCACAGATGCCTTGAGGGTTTGCTTTTTCCCAGGTGCATATAAAGGAAGGAGACACCTAGAATAGCACAGCCACTATCTCCATAAGGGATAGGCTATAAACATAAGTGGTACTCAAGAGTATATAAGCAGTAGTAAAATGTTCCCTATGTACAGTCTAACAAAGCAAGTAAAAAAATCTTCACTTGAAAAAGTGTTACTACAAAACAGTTATCCTCCAGGGAGTTATTCTTGGCAGAGACACCTAATGTGTTTGAGGTTGAATTAATTAATCATGCCAATTCAAAGAATACCTTGTAACAAATAATAGGAACCGGTATTTGAGAACAGAAAAAGTGTGGTTAAAATGAATCTCTATAGTAGAAGAATGACATGGATTAGCTAAACAGTCCACTCTGAATTTAATCTGCTTTAGATTCAAAAGAAGCAACCTAGGATGTATTCCAAATGCAGTGCATGTTTCTTTGCATTTACTCATTGCATTTATTCTACTATTCAATGTCACCAATTGTCATGTTTCAACAAGTCAACTCAATGTTTGTCAGCATTTAAGCAAAAGCCGGTGTCTTAACTGCTTTTTTTTAGAAAATGCTACTTTTTCTAACAGCTCTCCAGCAATTTCACAGAGAAGGACAATGGTGTTGTACAGGCCAATACCAAAACCTGTAAGACAGAGAACCTTTTTCTATCTCTGCTTCTGGTCATGTTTTATGAAGTATGTTGAGTCAGCACTTCTGTGTCCTCTTTGGTCAGTCACAAGTCATGAATAGGGATGATAGGCTTGCAATCAATGAAGGAAGAATCCTGAACAACTTCAGTATTTACATCACAGGTTTTTGGTAGTATTTCAAAACTACCTCTTGCCTGAACACTTTAGTTGCCTTGATCTGCTTGGTGACACTGTTAACACTTTAAAGTTACAAGTAAAAACGTTAAAGACAGTTTAATAGGATAGTGCCAGGTTGTCTCTCCAGAAACCAGAAAGGATAGATAACATGTCAGTCCTTTGTGCCAACCTTTACTTCCCTCACCCACGTGGTACCAAAATAATGACAAAACCAGGCGCTTATTTGTGAGACCTTTATTTATATAAATAATATCCACCATATCAAACAAATATACAACATCATGCTTGTAAATTAATGCTTTGCAAAGAACTCTCATTGCTATTCCTGGAAAAAATTCCTCAAGCTGAGAGAGCCTTAGGAGCCTGAAGTTGTAGGAAGCTTGTGATGCACCCAGTTGTGACGTTTCCTAGAAGGAGGAGGCACAGTGGGAGCAGGGCTCTCTGCAGTCCTCCTGCAGCTGACCTGTCATGATGAGGTGTTTCGAGGAGTGACACAGGAGCCTCCAGCCTTACCCAGAAACCATAAGGAGGAACAGGATGGAGCAGAGAACTTGAAGACATCATGAAGGAAATGACAGAGCAACCCCAGAATGTGAGACACATTTAGCCTTGGCAAAGCCTCAAGAGGTTAGACTGCAGAGGACAATCCATATATAATTTAGGTAGTGGGAAGGTGGTGGTGAGTAGACATGTACTATCAATCCATGTCTTCAACTTGGTAAATACTATGTCCATAAGATCAGGTGCTAATGGTGTTCCCTAGTGGAAACGCAATGATTGCCAGGCAGGAGGATGCTTTGATTTTGACCCCTACAGAAGAAATCTATCTACAAATTGTATAGCTTTGCTCGTGCTGGATGTTTTTTTTCTGGTCAGCTCTCAGTCCAGTCACCAACTAGCTGCATCTGGCCACATTATGGGCAGTAAAAGGCCTGAAAAAACAGAAGACTCTGGGACTGTTAAGGTGCCTCCTGCAGGTGACAGTTGCCTAGGGAAGGGGCATACTGCAGGTCTGACCTGGGAGTAAATGCTCAGTGGATTAAAACTGCTCCAGTAGTGAGAGCTGTGGTCCTCTTCCTTTCAGTACGTCAAGAAACAGACGGTGTCTGACGTGAATGCCAATACACCACCTAAAATGCCACAGCCTCAACCTACATAATGAGAAATTAAATCTGAGGGACAATACAATGTGGAAACAAGGTGTGTTTTCCAGTAGCTGTATGCTGGAACAACACTGCAGTGGTGAAGTGCCTTGGTGTCTCCTTTCCTGGCTAGGTGGGAGACCCACACACTGATCAGTACTGACCCGGAGCTGCCACGGCTTTCAACATAGTTAATAGAAGTTGAGTGGAGTTCCTCTTTCTTCATGGGAAATGTCTTGCTGCACATCCACAATTGCAGCTCAGACTTGAAAATGTTGGCCAGTGAGTCCTCTGCTTTCATTTCAGGCTTTTATTGTTTAGTTTCAACTTCTCCTAGGGCACAAAACCTGGACTACTGAAGCTCCATTCTTTCTGGGCAGGAGGCACTACAGGGCCTGGGCCTCCATGCAATCCACTTAGAAGACCTGCTGGCTTCAGGTGAGGTTTCTAAGATAAGCTACCTGGGCTGTCCAGGACTCACTTCAAAACTCTCAGTTGAGCTTTCCAATAACTGGCCAATTTTGCTGTTAGGACACAGGCTGAACCATTTAAATGGTGATGGTTTTCAACTACATACCCACATCCAGAAAGACAAATACACCATTCCACAGGGGAAGACACAGAGTAGCCCAGTGTAGTGCAGCTCTAAGAGCTAAGAGACATGCTCCTCAAAGCCCTCGTGAAACGTGCAGAACAGCACGGTGCCAGCCACACAGCTTGGCAGGCTGTCTGCTTCTACCTGGGCAAGTCTAAACCCAGAACTCCATTTAGTGGAGCACCTGAATTAGCTCTACGGGTACCAATGGAGGGCAAATGGCTCCCTTTCAATGTCGCTGCAGTCCTGGCTATTACCCGATAGCAATGGATGATTAGTGAGTCTGGGGAATGTGTCTGTAGAAGATCAACCTAATTTTCCTTGGAAATGAAAAAGTAACAATAGTCTTATCTCTAGATACAGGGCTGGAAAGAAGAGAGATGTAAAGAGGGAAGAAGACAAAGATCTGTTGTAAGAGAGAGAGCTGGAAATCAAAGAACAAGTGTTTGTGAAGTCTTCTGGTGGCTGAGTTTCACTTCAAAGTCCCAGAGTTTTAAAGGCATCTCGTAAATCATCTACTTCATACAGTGGCTGCAGGACAAAATATAAATGGTAGGTCAGTTGTCGAGTGAGCAGGAACCTGTGAAGATGGGGAAGGAGAAAGGAATTGCAGGAGACAGGATGAGAGGTGGAAGAAGGGGAAGAGAATGAGGAGATATGAAGGAAGTTGGGGGAGAGAGGCATGAGGGACGTGGAAGGTGAAGACACAGGAATGAATGAAAAGGCAAATGGCAGCAAGAGCAGAGAGGAACTATAGTGACGAAGAGAGGAAGAAGCTGAGGGGAAGAGGCACCGGAAAGAGGAGAATTGACCCTCACCAGAAGGATCCGTCGAAGTTTCCTGGACAGATGGACAGAGTTTTCATGCAGCCCTTCCCAGGCTTTGAATGTCTTTTCTCTGTTCTCCACAAATGTGTTCCAGCAGTAGAAGTAATCTGTGCAAGGCACAGGAGAGTTACAGAGTGCTTAGGACTGCCCCAGAGAGGACACTGACCTCTTCTAGGATCACTAAATTATCACATCCTGCCATCATCTTCTCTGTCTCCTTGTCCTAGCTTCTCCCACCCTCCTGAGTCTCCCTAACTCCCTAGAGCTTTCCATCATCTCTTTCTCACCTGCACGTCTCACCTTTGAAGGTCATGATGGCAATCTGGGCCCCTGCTCTGTGCAGGCGCCTCAGCCCCTCAGGCTCTGCCTTGCGGTCCTCACAGAAGTAGAGGCGTGCCGTGAAGATGCGGAGGGTCAGGTTGGGATAGGCACGCAGGAAGTCAGCCACGTGACGGGCGCAGTCATAGCAGGGGCTCCAGGAGGTGAACCAGGTGATACGGTAGCAGCGGCCTGGGTCCAGGTCCCAGGCTGAGATGTAGCGCAGAAAGAGCACCTCCACGTGACAGCCCATCTTTGTGAAAGAGGGAGACGGGCAAGGCGTGAGGCAGGGGGGACCATGGTGTAAGGAGGACTGAGGAGGGAGATGTGAGCTGGATGGGGTGTGACAAGAAAAAAGGTGGGGTGCAGGTCCTAGGGTCAGTGCACAGAGGGCACAACGATAGCATTAAGTAGAAGACTGTCTAGAAGAGCACAGGGATGCACTGATACGTAGGGCCGTACAACAAGCGGAATGGGTGGGAGGTAAGCAGAAAAGTAGGTAGACTGGTAAAGCAGCAGAGAGTATGGATGTCTTGCTGGTAACATACTTGGGGGTAGCATAAAGTACAAGTTTAGCTGGAGGTTGCGTCCCCCAAATGTATGTACCAGTGGAGTGTCCATGCTTGTGGACACACGCCGATGCCTGCATTGCTGTCACAGCCCTCCTTTCCCTGCTCCCCAAGGCAAACTGGAGCTGCATGCACCTCAGCATGGGTATAAGAACAGGACGCCAAGGTGTTTCCCATACCTTATTGCGCAGGTACCCGAAGTCCAGGGAGCATGATGTGGCACTGTCACGGCGCTTCACGACATAGCAGAGGTAGGTTTCACGCCGGCCCTTAGCCCAGCGCAGGTTCTTGAAGTTGTAAAGGAAGAGTTTCCTGTTCATCAGGAGGCTGCAGAAGAAGACAAGAGAGAATTTATATTAGCCCCACCCTGGAGCCAGCAGCTGGCCATATCTTTGTTGAGGGCTCAGCACCAAAAATATCTTCCTCATGCCCATGCCTCTCAGTAGGAGAAGAGCATCAGTAATTTGAATGCAATGTGTTAGGGAAAGGGTGCAGACATGATTGTGGGGATGAAGCATGTGACCTTGTGAGTAGTAACAGTATGTGAATTAGTAGTGATTAGTCAAACAGCAACTATGGCTGTGTGGAGTGTGAAAATATCTGCAAATGTCTAAAAGATGGACTCTAATGAGGGAGAAGGATGGAGGTGTCTGAGAAGACTTCCGAAGATGAGAGGGTTTGAAGTTCAGTCATCTAGAAACATTATTTCTGCTGTATGAAACCCTGAAAGCCACTGAGGCAAGAGATGGATCAAATGAGAGACCCTTTAGGGAAGATTGGACAGAGTTTCTTCCCAGCATTGCCCAACAGAAGAGCCTTGTTGAAAGTGCACAGGGCTAGGGGCTCAGGTAAGGCACCATACACTAGCTGACAGAATATGCAATGGGGTAAGCATGCTGACACCTCTTCAGATACAAGTACCATTCCCACATTAGACAAACATCAAGACTGGTGGGGTACTACTCTCATACCCAAGAGTCCTGCTGGGGAGCGGCTGCAGGAGCATGAGAAGGATAAGGTAGTCATGAGCCATATCTAACAGCCTCACTGCCAAGTGGAGGTACATAGGCAGCTGAGAACAGCTGTGTTCATTGAGGTGAGATACCTCCCCCACAGCAATGCAAAACAGAAATGAATGGGTTAAAAATAATCATGTCCTTTGTCATCTTTTCCCTCAGGTAGGCTGATATTCAGCAGGGAGATGGGGTCAGTTTTAGTGATACCAAGCTGGTTTTCCTAGGGGGTCTCCAGTGAGGAGTAGGAAATGGGAATTTGGGTTTGTTAGGAATTTCCTGATTTAAATCTCAGAGTCTGAGCAAGTAAAAGTTTCTTATACAAACACCTTTCATCTGTTTGACAATGTCACTATAAAGCCTGACTGCTGCAGAGCACTTAATCTCCAGCTAACAGTGGCATCCTCTCTAGTCCTCCGAGGAGCTCCTCTCCATCGTGTACCCTCACAGATGATCATTGTACCACAGGTGCTCATTCACATAGTCGCGCACATCCTCTTGCCTTTTGTTACCTAGTGCACGTGCTTTGCTCTCCTGTAGCACTCCCTATTGCACCTCACACCACATCTCCAGAGAATCACATTTTTCCCTCAAGCATCCTTGCTACCCTGATTGTCCCACAGATAACCCACTTGCACACATCCTCTTTCCTGCCATGCGCCCTCAGCCCACACTGCAAAAATACCTGTCCTGCTCACACAGAAAAAGCAAGCACGTGCATACTCAGTTATGCCACTCTTTATATACACATGCTCCTAGAGAAGTAGATCACATGTGAGTTGTGGCATATGTCCTGCTAGGAGAAAGTCCATAGAGAAGACAACACTCTGCAGGGTCCTGCACACACTTATAGGGCAAAGCATCCCCACTAAGCATTTTATTCAGCCCAAAAAAAAGCCTTAGGCAGTTCTTGGAGTTCTATCCTGTAAGCACAGACCCAGTCCTCTCCTGGACTTGCAGGTTGTGTCAGGAGTAGGGCACAAATGGATGCCACTGCATTTCATCACCTTTTTCTGTGGTAGTGCAGGTTGGGTGTATGTTTGCCATATCCACTGTATGTTCTTCATCATCAGTTTTGATTTATTTCTCACACTTAGAGCTGCCCCACTTCCTACCACCTTAGATTCACCCTATTTCTATGCCTTTGTACAAACACTTATGAACATGTGTGTACATTCCCTAACACACGCACACACATGCACATACACACGTGTCAGTCCCCTCAAAGCCATCAACCAATGGTTTGCCTCAGGCTTCTCCCTCTTAGATGTGTGTCATTGCAGGGATGTGGGGAAAACTCTCCCCCATAACAAAGGTGCTGGAGAGGGGACAGCCCTCCTAATATGTGACAGATCCTTGGTTGTCCAGAGAGGATAGCCCAGACAATCATGTGGGAAATGAGCAGGCATGATAGGCCAGAGGCTTGAAAAGCTTTTACCTGTGCTGTGTCACAACAGCAGAAAATAGAGCAGAGGAATTGTGAAAAATGCGATTGCTTGATGAAGAACCGTATAAGCTAGGTGAAAATGCCAATTATGTTGATGTTTCATCAAAACCCACATGGAAAAATGCTTTGCAACACATCAAAAGGTTTAGGGAAACAGGCTTTTTCTTTTCTCTTTTTTTGTGAAGTTTTGGGCAAAAACATGTTCTTTCAAAATGTCTCTGATTCTTCTTCTAACTGTCCCTTTTTTCACTTCTTCCCATTTTTCTCTATTCAGTGGTTCTGCCCCTGCAGAGCAGCATCTGGATGCAAATAAGGGTGAAGAACAAGAAATAACCCCAAAACCCCAGAAAAATAAAATTATGGTCAGTTGGGTTATTTTTCAATGTCAGAACAAAGTGAAGATAATTTTGAATCACTGAAGCCACTTGTTCATCTAGAAATGTTCATTAACATCAGTCACTGTCTTCCCTTCTCTCTGGAGTTCATCATCCCAAGGTTTTTTTGCTAGGGAGGATTTCAGAATGTAGCTGGTTCAAGAAGAGGAAAAATGAATGAACAGATGTTGTGGGGAGCAACTGAGCAGATGTGCAGTTGGGTACAAACTGCTAGATATATGTGCAACTCGTATAGCTATAGCATAGCTCAAGGGAAAGCAGCAAGGGCGCAGGAGCTGTGATTATAGCCAGGCACTGAACAAGTAGACTGAACAGAGACCTTCTCCACAAATAAAGGTTTATGAAGCCCGTCCTCAAATCAGAGTAAAGGTCTCTGTGTGTGTGAAAGATATGCAATTGTGGAGAGTGATGAGTGATAATTAGCTCACAGAGTAATTGCAGTGCAAGCAGAGGAATACAATTCCGTAACAGTCTGTGTTTACGAGCACAAGGCTGCAAGCAGCAGAAACAGAGTGAGACAGAAATCTGGTGCAAGAAGAAGAACAGGTGGATAAGGAGAGACGAGTGGGCAGGGATCAAGGTGCTTAAGCAGCAGATAGCATGTGAATGTTCATTTTCTGTTGTCTTTTGTTGTTTCTAGTAAAGAAAAAGAATTAAAAGAAACAGAGAATAGTTATGAAAAAGAGAAATGACAGAAAGGGAAAAGAGTACAGGGTGGTAGACAGTCAAAGAGAAAGAGTGACAGAGACACAGAGATGCAAGGTGCAAGAGCAGGACAGGGAGGGGATTTAGATCACTGAGTCAGATGGGGAAAGGGACAGTGAATACCAAATGGAGAGCAGCTTAATTCTAAGAGAAAGACCCTCATTTCTTATATGAGCAAGGGACTGGAGGCACTCATTTTACCTGTCCATTACCGCCAGACTCTCTCAGGTGATGGGATTGCAGGGAGGTTGTCTCACAGGCTCCGTCTGCGCAGCCCTCTGACTTGATGTACAGAAATGTGTCCCCGTGTGTCCCCTCCCCATTCATCTCCATCTACCCGCCCCCCCTCCTCGGCGGGTTTCACCTGGGTGTGGTTGAGGGAGGAGTTAGAAAGGTCTCTGGAGCTGAAGAGCAAAGGGTTGAGATGAGAAGGGGCCTCGGTTCTGAAAGATGCTTGGCACTCATTGGTCGCCTCCCCCTGCTGCACTCCTCATTGGGCCCTCGCTGCCTGCAAAATTATTCTGAATTAATATCAATGACATAACGAGTCAGGAAGCATTGTCTAGTGGTTAGAGGGGGGCCTGGGAGCTTCTGTACCGCTAACATGAATGTGGGTAAAACCACACTGGGCCTTGGGTCACGCAGCTGTGCAGTGAAGAGGGTGACCCTGCCCTGCCTCGCCACGGAGGGAGCTCTGTGCAGGGCTCCACAGCCACCAGCTGGAAGGAGCTCAAGGAACACCAAACTGTTGGCAAGCTTCCCCGCCTCCTCCGTGTCCCCCTGAAAGGCCCAGCAGCTGCTTGGCAGCACAGGGCAACACTGAAGCTAAAGGTGAGAGTGAGAGGGACTCAAGTCCAGAGAGAGCCCGGGACGCGAGGGGCGAGTGCCTGGCCCCACTTCAGCACCTGAACATGGTCAGGGGTGCCTGAGCCCCTTCAGCATGCCAGAAGCAGTGGCGAGCCCACATTGCGAAGCTGTACGCAAAGGGAATGACTCGGGGCCTGATCCTGCTGTTGGCAGGTGGCACCGCTGCTGCGATCTGCCGGTGGCAGGGTGGCTGCTGAGACCCTCCGTCCAACGGCCGTGCCCAGCAGGCATGCAGTCGTACACTGTTACGCCTGGGCTCACGCTCAGGTCGCACACTCTTTGCTCTGCCAGCACCGCTCTCTGCTGCCCAGGCTCTGCTCCACCACCTGCCTGGGCATCTGTCCCCTGGGCAGGGCTGAAAGGCAGTCAAGGGACAGCCAAGGGATGAGGCAGCAGCTTTGGCAGGGCAGGGTGCTGAGGAGGGGGATGTTCTGCCTCAAGTGGGGCACAGTGCTATGGCTGAGAAACAGGGCTGTTGTTTACCTCACGCTAGGGTAGTTTTTCGTTTTTTCTCTGCTTGATTTACTTTCCTTATTAACTTTACTGGCTTTCAGCATGTTAGGACTATGTGAAACCAGTATATGCAAAAACATGAAAAGGAGAGATGAGTTGCCAGAACAGAGCAGCCGACTCTCTAGCCCAGCAGTTTAACAGTACTTGTCTTTGACAGCAGCTGGCATGGCATGCCTCAGGAAAAGGTGAAGCACTCCTTGAAGGTCCAGGGCTGGCTTGTCCTACTTCTTGGGGAAATGTCTGAGTAGGGCACACACTCAACGAGCTCACATTTTGGCAGCTGCATTTGTCTCAAGAGTTGTGGCAATTGTCCTCTGAGTAAACGGCTCCTACTGTTTGACCAAAGCTAGAAGAGCCTGCAATCCTTGTGAATCCCTGTCC